TTATAGGCTTTGACATGACTATATATCGGCCCGATCTCGACCTTTAATCGTGTCCAATGCTTACATAAATCATTGATTAACTATAAAATAATACAATATAATACGCCAAAAAAAACCGTATTCAATAATACGACATATACCATATTAATTCACTATCCCTATTAGTTTATAAAATATGATGATCATACTGAACATTATATTATTATATTATTATACAATACGGTATTCTAATACGGTTAATTAACAAACATGCCTGGGTCTCAAAATTCATAAAATAGTGAAGAAAAAACAAGTTGATCCAAAAGTTTATTCTAAAAAAAAAATTGGCTTGGCTACATATCTGGTTTTTGTTTTTGTTTTTCAAATCAGCTTGTTTGTTTATCATCTTATCCCCACGTTAGATTTCTTCTTAAAATAGTCAATTTACAAAGGGTCTACAACTGTATACTTTAGAAATACTAAGTTAGTTAGACTTCTAAAAGTAAATGTTGACAGGTTAACCCACTGCACATCTTAAGGGAAGAATAGTAAAAACAACCCTTTTCTTAAAATTAACTTGATTGTCTCTGAAGACATTAACCATTATTCCTTTGCTTCGGCTTCTATGAAATTCAATGGTAAAGTGCGACAAAAAATTTCTCCCATGCAAATATGTCATGGGAGGGTGGCTATGGTTATGTTTACAAATTTATCCCAAGGTGAAAATTCATATAATGCAGTCCACAAGTACGTATGTCTAAATTGCTTTCTTTAATCAACGAGACTCTTAACACAAAAGAGCATATCCTATGTGACAATATTCAGAGAAATATTTCAACATGGCAAAAAGTAGGAGTAATTAAAGAGAATGTCGAAGGATTCGGGACGGGTTCTGAAGAGCATAAGAATGCAGAGATACTAATCTATGAGTACATGCATTATAAAAGCTTGGATCACTTCAAGTTTTCTGAACTCAGTTTTGAATTGTTTCCCAAGTCTAAAAGATAAAATGAATGTTGTGCAGATAGTAAAAGAAGCAATGTGTTAAATTTTGAATGAAATATTAACGTCAGTCTATACACTACTATGAAGTAAAAATACTGTCAATAAAGTTGAAGTTTATCAGCTTCAAAAATAGAGAGATCCATCTGACATATTTAGCGATCTCAATAGAGCAGAGATGCCCCTGCCTTTTTTTTCCCACTATTTTCTGATTCTCAAACAGTAATATCCTTTCTTGCTATGACCCATGCTTTCAGGAAAAACAAAAAAACAAAAAAAAAGAATCATCAAAAAATTTTTAAAAGCATAATATGATCATGACGAATCTATCTACCAGTCGGAAGCGTTACAGTCACTACGTTTTCAGAATGTGAATACTCACTTGATGTCGAGCACTTTTCACTCAAACTCCTTTCTACAAAGTATCCAGGCTCGTTAGGTTGAGGCAAGATTGCTTCCTCATTCTCCAACATGAAAACTACGGACGACATTGTTGGTCTGTCATACGGGAACTTCTGGACACATAACAGACCCACTTGAATGCATCTCAACACTTGAAATTCAACATATGAGTCCTTGAAACACAAGTTCATTAGATCCAAGGCTTTCCCTTCATTCCACATCAACCCTGCCTGATGCAATCAATATAATCTTAGACATTAACCAAAATAATAAAAATATAAAAAAATATCACTCAGTGTTCTTACATGTCCCAAAAGGTTATGGTGATGATCTGGGTGATTGAATCTTCTATTCCTTTTACCGCTCACGGTCTCTAGCAACAACACACCAAAGCTAAAAACATCTGATTTGACAGAGAACTTACCATCAATTGCGTACTCTGGTGACATGTAACCACTGCATGAAGCAATACAATTTGTCATAAAAACCAAGTATAAATGTGTGATAGAAAATAGTAGCAAGTTTTCTAACTTACTATGTTCCAACAATTGTTCTTGTCCTCGCTTCTTTCTCATCGTCTCTGAAAATCCTTGCCAAACCAAAATCCGATATCTTAGGGTTTAGATCATTGCCTAATAAAATATTGCTTGCTTTAAGATCTCGATGAACAATCTGAAGTTTAGAATCTTGGTGGAGGTAAAGAAGACCTCTTGCAATGCCTCTGATAATGTCAAACTGCTTGTTCCAAGGAAGTTTTGTGCATCGTTTTCCATCTGCAAGAAATTTGAACTTCTCCTTATCAGTTAAATTTTTAATTCATTGACCGCATAACCTTTCAAAAATTTAATTTGCAAAGGTTTGGTTCCAAACCGAAGATGTAATGGTCCAAGCTCTTATTAGGCATAAACTCATAGATTAATATCCTTTCTTCTTTTTGAATACAACAGCCCAGTAGAGCAACGAGATTCCTATGTTGAAGCTTTACGATTAATTTAACTTCATTCGTAAATTCTTTAGGACCCTGTCCGGAATTCTTTGACAGTCTCTTCACTGCGATTTCTTGTCCATTAGAAAGTTGCCCCTGCTTGGTGATATAGAAATATATACTTAATGAGTTAAAATCTTATGAAGAAATAGACCCAAGGTGATAAATTTATACAAGAAAACAATACCTTGTAAACAGGACCATATCCACCAGCTCCTATCATATTTGTATTGGAGAAGTTGTTTGTAGCAGCTGCAATTGTAGCCAAATCAATTGTAGGCAAGTCTACATCTTCTTTTTGCAGCAAACGTTCTACATCTTCTTCAATTCTCTTGCCTAATAATTTTAATTTGTAAAATGCATACTTGATTTTCAGGCGTTTCTCTGTGGACTACCGGCTACCGGGCTTTGAATCGCGCTACCGTTCCAGACCGGTTTCCTATTCTGGTGATAGAGGAGTTATTAGATGAGTTGTATGGGGCGAAGATTTTTTCAAAGCTGGATCTTCGCGCTGGATATCACCAAATTAGGGTGCGAGCCGAGGACGTGCCCAAAACGGCTTTTAGAACCCATGAGGGGCATTATGAATTCTTAGTGATGCCATTTGGTTTGACAAATGCCCCTGCCACCTTCCAGGCTCTAATGAACGAGGTGTTTAAGTGTTTTTTGCGGAAGTTTGTGTTGGTGTTTTTTGACGACATTTTGATTTATAGTGCGTCATTAGGAGAACATGTGGAGCATTTGCTTCGGGTTTTTGAGTTGTTGCAGCAGCATAGTTTGAAGGTTAATGATAAAAAATGTTGTTTTGGACAATCCTCTTTGGAGTACTTGGGGCATATTATTTCTGCGGATGGAGTGGCGGCGGATGAGCGGAAGATTGAGGCAATGATGAAATGGCCAGTTCCCAAAATGTTGCGGGAGTTGAGGGGTTTTTTGGGGCTCACGGCTTATTACCGCAAGTTTGTCAAGAACTATGGGATGTTGGCAAGTCCGTTGACTGATCAACTCAAGAAAGATCAATTTGGGTGGAATCCAGCGGCGGAGGAGTCGTTCGTGGCCTTAAAGAAGGCTATGACTTCGGTTCCGGTGTTAGCCTTACCGGATTTTTCTCAGCCCTTTGTGGTTGAGACGGATGCTTCTGGACACGGTTTAGGAGCTGTGTTAATGCAGAATGGTCGACCAATTGCATTTTACAGCCATGTTTTGTCGTCTTGGGGCAGGGCGCGTTCCATTTATGAGCGTGAGTTGATGGGAATTGTACTAGCGGTGCAAAAGTGGCGATCGTATTTGTTGGACAGGCGTTTCATTGTACGAACCGACCAACAGAGTTTGAAATTTTTGTTGGAGCAGCGGTTGGTAAGTCTGGAGCATCAAAAATGGGTTACTAAGTTGCTGGGGTATGACTTTGACATCCATTATCGGCCGGGATTAGAGAACAAGGCCGCTGATGCGCTTTCTCGCATGGGCAGCGTGTCCTCTCTTTGCACGATATCTTGTGTCCAGGGCTGGGATTAGGACGAGCTGCAGCAGCAAGTGCTATTGGATCCTCGGTTGTCAGAGATTTGTCAGGCCTTGTCACACGATACCACTAGCTACCCTGGTTTCTCGTTGGAGCAGGGTCGGCTTTTGTACAAAGGGTGACTAGTTATTGCCAAGTTTTCTCCATTTGTTGTCACCTTATTAAAGGAGGCGCATGATGGTCATTTCACTTACGTGAGGAGGAATAAAAGGCAAGGGCAAAAAGGGAATTCTGTAGAGGGGGCTGCCTAATGTAGGGCAATAGCGTGTAGGAATAACGGTTTTGGGGGGAAATAAGTGGGATATAAAGGAGTAGAAGTAGAGAATGGGATTAGAGAATTGTATTGAGAAGAAATTGGAGAGTTGAGGTCTCTCGAAAACCTCGGTGTGTGTGTAGAGTGTGCGGAAAGTCCCAATTGAATCTTTCCGATAGTTGATAATTCAATAATACTTGAGTAATTGCATCTTTACTTGTGATTTGCTGGTGATCTCGTATCAACTTCATTCGTAAATTCTTTAGGACCCTGTCCGGAATTCTTTGACAGTCTCTTCACTGCGATTTCTTGTCCATTAGAAAGTTGCCCCTGCTTGGTGATATAGAAATATATACTTCATGAGTTAAAATGTTATGAAGAAATAGACCCAAGGTGATAAATTTATACAAGAAAACAATACCTTGTAAACAGGACCATATCCACCAGCTCATATCATATTTGTATTGGAGAAGTTGTTTGTAGCAGCTGCAATTGTAGCCAAATCAATTGTAGGCAAGTCTACATCTTCTTTTTGCAGCAAACGTTCTACATCTTCTTCAATTCTCTTGCCTAATAATTTTAATTTGTAAAATGCATACTTGATTTTCAGAAACATAATTAAGAACTTTAGTGATGTTGGAAACATTTACTTACCTTTTAGCCTTTTCCTTAGTTTCCAAGTTATGCACCACACTGCAACACCAAAGATACATGTTCCACTGGTCAACGAAGCCCATAACACGATGTGAAGTTTTTTTTTCTCATCTGCCTCATTAATTGATTCTGAAAAGGACCAAGCAATATAAAGAATTCAAACAATTTGTGCAATTTTAAAGAGAATATATAAAATATATGGACAACCTCTGTCACAAAATAGTGAATCCATACTAACTTATTTCTGAAGCAGATAGTCGGATATAGAGATCCTGATCACTGCCTTTCACATGCTTTTCTCGGATATCAACCAAGTCACCAAACCACATCAAACAACCACTGCCTGCATTCCTGACGTCGGAATTAGCATAAGCTTTGCAAGAACAGTTCTTCAAACAAGCCTCCTTGCATTCCTTAGGGCCCATATTTTTGTTAAACCAAAACTCCAACAAATCTGGCAATTTTACCCCCGCGACCTCCACAAACCCTTCTTCCTTTCTGCAATCCAATGGCGTCTTCCTCGCGCATCCCTTGGACCACGTCAGTGCGATCCATTCTTCTTGAGACCTTGATGTGAAGCCCTCAAAACATTTGCATACCTTATATGATCCTCTAATTATACAAACTGCATTAATGCCACAATAACCATAATTATCGCATAGTTGACCAGTTGGTAACGTGTACATAGTAGCCCATTCAGAACTTCCATTCTGCAAAACAAGATGCTGCAGGGAACCCCAATGATTCAGCTTAAATATTGAAATGACAGAGTCAGTAGTAGTCTCGGACGTTTGGTATGCCTCGTCCTTAGTGAACACAGATGTTATCTTTAAAAAAAAGTAAATAAAATTGCCCTTCCATGCCACTGAGTCGAACTCCATTCCATATTCCAGTGCGAAATTTTCTGGTCGATCCCACGGCTAGTACACATTGAGGTAGCCCACTGACTATGCTAATCCTGTAAGTAACATCTCCAGTTGATGGATCATCTGTGCTTTTCCACGATGTTAGGTAGCGCTCGAAACCTGTGTTCAAGTCCCACCCAAGCTTCATGCCATTTAAGAGCGTGTCAGTAAGATAATCAAAGCTTTGCCATATATAAACATCATGAGGTTGCTAATGATCTCAACACGATCTAAACAAGATGAAAAACAATAATCTAGCAATAAATCCGAAAATACCATAAAAATTATTTGGGATTTAGACATACATTGAAGTGGGCAAACGAAGATTACCTCTTCTGGTAGGAAGCGTAAAAGCATCGTCAACAGTCGCCAGAATCCGTCCAATGGGCCGACCGGAATTGGTGCTTGAATGACCTGAAAAATCAAAGGGACTTGAAGAGTTCTTCAACCATTTCTCTTCTCTGCTTCTTCAACTATTTGGGATTTTCCCCCTTGGTTTTTGTCTGCAATCTTAGGTAATTGGGCCTTGGGCCTCAACCAAAATTATTGATAGAAAAGAAATTTGGCCCAATAGACTTATCAAATATTTAGAGAGTGAGTTCATATACCTTAAGCGAGTTAATAAAATAAATTTCACACCCATTATGGACCGATATTTAACATCCGTATTTTCATTAATTCACATTAACACAGTTGTCTATAAGATGCTTTAATTAATTACAGAGTGAATTATTATGATTATGGAAGTCCACATAAAAATATTCTAACAGTCTCCTACTTGGACGACATAATCATACAACAAACATTCACTCATCACAACATAAGCATCAACTAAGAATCTCACATAATAAACGTACAAGCCTAAAACAATCATGCATAATAACGTATCAATAGGATACAATCATTATACATAATTAGGCGCTAGAGATTCATTAAAGCATGGTGACAACTTAACATATGGATCGAAAACTACCGAATGTCTCATTTTTCCCTGTCACATTATTAACCAAAAATGTGTGTCAACATAATATCACATATAGAGTGACGAGATCCATAAATATGCATGCATTATTTGAGGCATAAGCAATCCTTATCAATAACAACATGTCACACACAAATGACAGTAAACTCCCTCTAACTCAATACAACTACAGGCTTCTTACAGTTCCGAGTGAGATGCGTGTTCTTAGCTAATAGGTAAGCCCTGACTGGAACTGCCAACACGCTGTTTATGTCATGACCGAGAAATTTTTCGAAGGAATTATTGTATGAGATAAAATTTTCTGGAATTCACTGTATTATAAATGTGAATACTTTTATGGTAAGTATTTGTTGATATTAATATTCAATAGCAAGTTATAAGCTAAAGATCAAGGATTTCTGAAGTATGATGCAGTTACCAATTTTCAGACTGCAATTAGGAAAGAAGTGCGGGATGCTGTGTTAAACCCACAAGTGGGCCAACACATGAATATCAAGGTATAAGAAATGAAAAATAATTGAAACATATAAATTCTTGGGTTTCAGAAACAATCATAACGAAAAAACGGACGAAAAAGGGGTTCGGAAGGCCGAATTGAGGAAATTGAGGTTTTCGACCGATTGGGGTTGACCGAGTCAACATTTATTGACCAACAGCCGATTAACAAGTCACTCTTAAAAAGTTATTCAAGGTTGGACAAAGTTGATTAAGTTGACCAACTGTCCGAAAAACACGAATAAAACACGCACCGGTTAGGAATTAAACTGAACCGAAGTGAGATAACTATTAGAAATGAATGGTTGAGATTTAAAATGACTATTTGGGTGGAGGGCTGAGATCAAGCCATTTTTTTAGTGAGGTGGCCGGCCAAGCTTGTAAAAGAAGCCAAGAAAGAGATATTTTTATTTGATTTTGCAAAAAAGACCCTAGAAAATGCCAAAATTACACTTTAGTCCCTCCTACTTTATTAGGTCGGTTTTATGATGTAAATATACAACCAAATGCTCATTTTTCATGTTAAGAAATGAGAGAGCATCAGCCAAAGAGAGGAGAAGAAAAAAATTCACCCAAAGTGAGAAAAACGAGTTTTAATCGAAATTGACAAAACTACACCACTAGTTCGCATCACTAAGGACTTCTCTTCATTCTCTAAGGTAAGTTTCAGTTTTCTTCTCAATTTTTCTATGATGGCTGCACGTCTATGCATAGTAGGAAGCATGGGAAAAATTTTGCCTAAGATGATGATATGCTTATGGTTAGTAATGGCACCGAAAAACCTAATGTTTAAAAGTGAAATTTTTGGTTATTGAGTTTTATTTTAGTGTTTGTATTCATGGAGAATTCTTGTGAATGATAATAAAAACCTAGAGTTTATGATATTTGTGATGATTAAAAGAATGAGAAAAGGTTGAAATAGCGGATAAAAAGAGCTATGGTTAGCTCGGGAAACACGAAGAATTAGGCGGAACTCCGCCGAAATTTAGTTTAGAAATTGTGAACCAATCTTGATTGTAATGAAGAGTATGAGTCATGAGATATATAAATGAGATGGTTAGATGGTTAAAAAAGTGTGGGAAACCTGAAACGATGGGAATCCCTAGTTTCGGATCAAACCTGAAAACTTGGTTAATGACCGAAAATGTGTATCTAAATATGTTTAGGCTAAAGGACCAAGATTGAAGCTTGATTTCAAAAAGTGATCAACATTAAGTTGAAGGAAATTTAGTTCCGAGAAACTTTTGTGGAATGACATTTTCCTTAAAAACGACTCGAGCTGCCAATTTCGAGCTAATTTTTGAAATAGGTCTAAAATGGAATTTTAGGCTAAGTATGCATGAGTTTAGAGCACAATGGTGATTTAAGAGATGTTTTAATCCGGATACTAAACATGGATATTATGGATCCTTTTGAGTCAAGTTTTATTATAAGTACTGGTCTTAGATTATAAATCTAATGATCTGAATTTATATAATAGGATCGGTAGACGATTAAAGTGGTGAAGTTCCTACCGACTTGAAGATTGTAACAATAGCAGAATTCTTGTAAGTATCAGTACTTTTTCTTGTCTATGACACGAATAAACTTATTTTGCTATGTTTCACAAAGATTAGGCATACAGTAAGTACAGCAGTTTTCCTATGTCTATATCACGAATAAACTTAGTTTTGTATGTTGCACAAAAATTGTGCATATTGTAAGTACCAGTTGTTTAATTTTGTCTATGACACGACCGAGCTTATTCTTCTGTGTTGCACAGAATTGTACATATTACATGCTCAATGAATGTTAGAATAAGAATGATGGTTCTTAAATAATGTATGATGCTATGAATGTTTCAAGATGTATGATGTTATGAATGTTTTAAGATGTACAATGCTATGAATGTACTTATGAAATTTAAGTAGTAGTAGAATTTTACTCTACAAAAAGTCTGAGACTTTTACGAAAAGTTAAACTTTTACGAAAAGTCAATTTCATATAAAATTGATGGAAATGCGTTAAAACGCAAAATAAGATTGAAATTACTGTCATGTTGAGAAAATATGACAGTAAAATGACATATAAAGAAATGATGAACAAATAAAGATTCCAAGATGAGGGCCATATGAAAGAAAGGCTAAATCCTTGAGGAACATAAGATTCCAAGTGGGGGCCATATGAAAGAAATGCCAAATCCTTGAGGAACATAAGATTCTAAGATAGGGGTCATATGAAAGAAGTTCTAATAACACAAGATGAATCTCATACAAAAAGGGCCCTAAATGTTAAAGAAAAGAAAATACGATACGCCCAACGTTGCACATGAGAAGATGAAAGTTTTAAAGAAATACGAAATGGAAAGAAAAGAAAATATAATACAACAACCGTTCCACATGAAAGTACGGAAGTCGTAAAGAATTATGAAATGGAACAAAAGAAAATGTAATAAGAATGTCATTTAGAATGTTAGAAAAGAATACAAACGACGCAAGAATGAAAGTTAATTGAAGTATACAATATGAACGATAAAAGAACGAAAATTGTAAAGATATGAAATGAAGAATAAAGAAGCATAATACGAAAGGTGTTGTGTTCTTGATGTTTAGAAACATGTTAGGATTATCATGTGAATACACATATGGGTGTGCATTATTGTATGCTTTTATTATGGCCTACTATTACTTGTTGAGCGAAAGCTCATTACGTTTGTTCGTGTTATAGGAAGCACGGGTAAGAAACCAGCTCCCTAAACCTGTTTGTTGGGCATGTGGAATAGGATGAAGTAGTGACATGTGGGCAAGTGGGTAGTAGATGCATCACGTGTTTTGGAAACGCTGCTAAACTTTATAGGTATAAAGTGAATAATGTTTTATGAATGTAGACGAGGTATGTAATAAAAGTAAAGTATACGAGACAGTGAGGCTATCCATAGCAACCTCAAGTCACAAGGTATGATTAATGCATCTAAATGCTATAGCATTAACGGAATGCACAATAAAAATGCTATTGCATTAAGGCGTATGAATGGTAATGGTATGCGAATGATAGGTTAAATACATGTCCACGAATAAGGAGGACAAGTTCAAAGTTTTAAAAGAAAAATTGAAAATGTTTTCAGGATAGTAACTTTTGATGTTCGAGTTTTATAAAAATCATTGAACGAAGTTTTATTCCGCAAAGAGTATTAGAATCAATTTTACTACTGTTGAAAACAAAATTTAGCCTGAATTTTTAAGAGGTTATAATTAGAAAGTAGTAGAAGATAGAAAATGCTAAGTATGAACGTAGAAATGATGACTGAAAGTTGGGGTCGTCACAGTTTATAGGCGTGTTTTCAATAACAATGAGGCTTTTTACAATTTCTCCTTAATAAATAGAGCACACTATCATTATGCTTGAGCGGACAATGTGCCCTCTACTTAGCCTTCCCAATGATTCAAACCAATATGATCATTGTGTGCTAGAGTCTTTTGAGCAAATATAGAACTCTTTCGCAGGTAAGAACAATTCATCAAACATCACAACCAAATGCATCAATCCACCACCGACAGGGTAGTAAAGATTATGCAGTTCATGACATCCACACTTCCTTCACCGGTCTATGCATCCTACCAAATAATTAATTATCAATAGGATAATTTAATTGTCCGTATGGATCTTAGCAATATGGTAAATACATACATTTATCATTAACACTCAAATATATTATTTGACCATAATATGAGTTTAGTGATTATGCAAGTACATATATAATCATTCACAATATTCTCTCACTTGGACTGCATAATCAATGACGACAATACTCATATAATACAAAATGTCAAATAATAATATGTAAACAAAAAACATGGATAAAGACAACAAGCTTAAGCTTCAACAAGACTCAAGCATCCTACCAAGTAATAAAACTATCGATGGGATAATTCTATTACCCATATGGACTTTCAGAACATAACCAACAAATTAAGTTTATCCATATAATCCCACAA